GTAATTTGAGTACGCCCCGCGTAATCCCAGACCCAGCAGCCTATAAATAGAACTCGAATTCAGCCATTTTCTCTTGTTCAAACTCTTCCCTCTCTCTAAGTTTTGCCTCGTTTTGCGTGCCGTTTATACCCCAAAGCCCCGGTAATATTCCCGAGCCCCGAAGTAAGATCCGAAGCCCCGAGGATCCCGAAGAGCGTTATTCCCGAGCCGAAACGCTGCCCGCGAGGAGCCCGGTTTTGTGAAGATCTTCCAGATCTACGGAGAAACACCTCTTCTGCAAGCCGTAGTGCTGCCCGATCATCTTTGATCAAGTGAGTGTGTAGTTATTTTCATTCCAACGCAATATTATGAAGTATTTCTATAAAATACGTGTTATGTGTATATATTTGGTTGTTATACGTGTGAGTGTATATTCACTCTCTTCTATCTTATAGATCTGATGTATTCTCTATGAAATACGTGTTATGTGTGTATGCCTCATCTGTTATGTGGAATATGTATTGATTAAAACATGTTATACAGGTTTTTAAACTATGTATAAAAATGTATATTTTTATCTACTAATATGTTGGGTAGAACATGGGTAGATAATTGGTGTGTAATAAACAGATGAGAGGCCTCGGTGTTATTGGTGTTATTCTAGTCATTCAGCAGAGTATGGATGACGACCACGGACTATTCTAGACTGTCCTGTGGAACACTAGCAGGCTCATTACCTGTAGGTGTTGTGAACGACGTGTTCACCGGTGTACTCTATCCCCCACATGGTTGCCTTAGGATACTTATTGTTGAGGAAGCCCCTCTGCAGTAATGTCCGTCCCGATGAAAAATCCTGAAATAGTTCCTTATAATAGACGTTATTTTTAGGAACGTAAGGTGAGGATAACGGGAATGGGTAATCGGGTTTATTGTTGATTGTTGAAATTAAATATAATTATTGTGGGTTGAAAACCCTATATGCTCACCAGGCTCCCAAGCCTGACCCACTCAGTTGATTTATTTTACAGGAAGTGGCGCAAGAGCTTAAGATGGGCGAACATCAAGTTGTTTTGTTTACAAGTCTGTATATGTATATATTTGTTGAATGACTTGTAATGCTATCGTTTATGCTTTATGATCTGTATCGGAACATGACATCCCGACTTTTGATTGTGAAATGAAATCATATTTCTTTATGAAATGTTTTGATAAATATCTATTTTATCATGTTTTGTTTTTGGGAACAAATTCCGCATCTCTTTTAAAATTAAAAGGATTTACTCTGAAAATTATTTTAAAAAGCATAAATGAAATCGGTCTTTTCTGGCCGAGATTTTGGGGATGTCACAGCAGAAGAGCTACGCCGACAGGAGGCGTTCGGACTTGGAGTTCCAGGTGGGAGATATGGTTCTTCTGAAAGTCTCACCTTGGAAAGGTGTCATCAGGTTCCGGAAGAGGGGCAAATTGGGCCCCAGATTTATTGGTCCTTTCAGGGTTTTGGCCCGGGTGGGTCGGGTTGCTTATCGGTTAGATCTCCCTGAGGAGCTTAGTCAGATACACAACACCTTCCACGTGTCGCAGTTGAGGAAGTGTTTGGTGGATGAGACAGCAGTCGTTCCCTTAGAGGACATTCAGGTTGATAGCGGCCTAAATTATATCGAGAAGCCGGTCGCGATTCTGGAACGGAAGACCAAGACCTTGAGGAACAAGGTAATTCAGCTAGTAAAGGTGCAGTGGCAGCACCGGAAGGGGTCTGAATGGACGTGGGAGGCTGAAGAGGAAATGAGAGTGCACTACCCGGAGTTATTTGCAGATCCAGCCGTAGCAGACTTCGAGGACGAAGTCTGAGACAAGTGGGGGAGAATTGTAACGACCCGTTCCCGGTATGTTGATTTATTGGTAATTATAGTGAGTTTTTCAAGAGGGACTCGGCGAGTTCTAGCCTGACTCGCCGAGTAGGGTCGCGCCTGAGGGCACGCGTGAGCCGGGGACTCGGCGAGTCCATATCCCTGACTCGGCGAGTCCATCTGTCTGGGTGAAACCCTAAAATCCCCGGGTTGCCCACTATTTATACCACCTTATAGCCCCCATCCTCGCCTCCCTCACCCTGAGAACGCAGTGTTAGAACCCTAAACCTCCCTTGAAGAGCTTATATGTGTTTTGGTGCCATTTTGTGAAGGTGTAAAGAAGGAGAAGAAGGAAGAAGCAAGGAGAAGTGTTGTAGTGCAAAGATCCAAGGCCAAATCAGAGTTAATTGAGGTATTTTCGGAGTTCCATCTTGTTATATGCTTTAAACTTCCATTAGAGCTCTCCTAAGAGCTAGTTGATGCTTGTTCCAAGCCTTACACTTGCATGAACGTCTTATTAAGTCGAAATAGCTATGGATCTGAATGTTGGGGTGTTGTAGAGCCCAGATCTACTGTCTTTTTGGAGTTATATTGCATGATAACCATAGATCTACCCATTTTATGCATCTTTTAGCCTTATTTCCCTTATTCATGAGGTTGTGCACGTAAAGTTGGAAACTTTACGTGGTAAATCAGCTTATTGGACTCAGATCTATCAATTGTATGCATTGGATTCAAACAAAATCGAGTAAAAATCAGTTGCATGGCGGCAACTCGGCGAGTCGGAAGAACGACTCGACGAGTTGGGTCGCGAGTCCCGAGTTCTTCAGTTTTATCAGTGTCGAGTGGACGAGGTGAGTTAGAGAGTGGACTCAGCGAGTTGAGGGTGAACTCAGTGATGGAGGGACTCGGCGAGTTGTTCATCAACTCGGCGAGTCCAAGGCAATCTTCTTGGGATCAAGAACAACTCGTCGAGTCTGTTCATACGACTCGGCGAGTCGGATGAAGATTGTCTGAGTTCTTGGATCAAGAGGGTACTCGTCGAGTCGATGCCAGACTCGACGAGTAGCAGTGAGTAAGAGTGAAAAGTGAGAGTGGGACTCGGCGAGTTGGGTGGCCCAACTCGGCGAGTCAGCCCAAAAGATATTTGACTTTGACCGAGGGTAAAAGAGTCATTTTACCCCAAGCGCAGTGTTTAGTATTTGATTGAGTGTGTTTATGGACTTGTAGCCGAGGAGATTCAGGAGCAGCCACCGTTAGCTTTCCGAGCCATACACTCAGCAGCCAGCTTACGAGGTGAGTTTCCTTCCAGTAGGAACGGGTCTAAGGCCACAATGCCGGCCCGTTCAGTTAGCAGTAGTTTCCGGATTTAGGTCCGATGCAGTAGTTAGTATGTTCGATGCCTTCGTGGTTCGAACAGGATTTGTGTGCTATGTTTTATGTGTTAAGTATTATGTGTTCCGGGCCACGGCCCGATGTAGCATGTCGTATATGTGTTACGCTAGTTGATGTGTTACGTTATGCCATGTTCAGTCAGACAGTTCCGGACTTCAGTCCGATGCAGTTAGTTCTGGACTTCGGTCCGATGCAGGGGACAAGGTCCCAGTCAGTTCCGGACTTCGGTCCGATGTAGTTAGTTCCGGACTTCGGTCTGATACAGGGGACAAGGTCCCAGTCAGTTCCGGACTTCGGTCCGATGCAGTCAGTTCCGGACTTCGGTCCGATGCAGGGGACAAGGTCCCAATCAGTTCCGGACTTCGGTCCGATGCAGTTTCCGGGCTTCGGCCCGATGCAGTGGGCAAGGCCCAATATGTGTTTTTATGTTATTGTATGGTATGTGGTAGTTTGGGGGAGCTCACTAAGCTTCGTGCTTACAGTTTCAGTTTGGTTTCAGGTACTTCCGCAAGCAAAGGGAAGAGCTCGGGGTGACAGCATCGCACACACCACAGCATAGCTTTTATCCTGGGGATGCCTCTTGATGTTTTGGATTGATGTAGTATGATACAGTTTTCCACACAATATTTTATTATGTTTTGGGGATACATCGCGTATGTTTTATGTTATGATACTTATATTATGGTTTTGATTATATGGAAAAACGAAAATTTTTGGGTTGTGTTTTTGGGTCGTTTTAGTTGACTTTTTGGCCAATCTCTATTTTTTGAAGGTTTAGGGTATGCCTTGTGTGGATTGGCAGGAGGTGTTTTGCACCCATGTTTTGGCAGGAGAGTAGTTAGATGTGGTCGATGATTTGAGCTGAGTCTTATTTAGTTTTGTGATTTAGGTGAGTATCCTCACTGTACGTGTGGGTCAAAGGCACCAATACCGTCCCATTATGATTTGTTATGCTACTTGTCTTTGTGACTCTTATATGGTATGTTGGGTTAGGCCCATTGTATGACGAGGTAGGCTCATTTGTATTATGGGCTAGGCCTATGGATCAGGAAGGGTTAGGCCCATTGTATGTTATGTAGGGTGTTAGTTGTCTTTGTGACTCTTGCATTTGTATGTTAGGATAGGACCATTATGGTGGGTTAGGCCCAATGAGCAGGCTAGACATTTTGGAGAACTCACTAAACTTTGTACATACGGTTTTATGTTTATGGTTTCAGGTACTTCCGGTACAAAAAGGAAGGGTCCGGCGTGACAGCACTGCATCCACCCATGTTCTCGCAACTTCATAATTTTAGGATTGTACTCTGATAAGTATTTCTACTCTGATATACTTTTGAATGTTTAAAATGGCTAAATGGTGTTTGTGGTTGAATTTAAAATGAAAATTTTACTTTACGATTTTTGAGATGTTACAGTTGATGTAGCTATGGTCTTTTCTCATAACTCTTTAATTGGTGACCATTTTTTGTCTCTAGAACAAATATTTAGTTACTATATATATATATATATATATATATATATATATATATATATATATATATATATATATATATATATATATATATATATATATATATATATAGAGAGAGAGAGAGAGAGAGAGAGAGAACTATAATTAGCCGGTATTTAGGGATAACTTATACTATTTCCGTTCCAAAATGATAATCCACTTTTAATTTTTAAAGTTCTTTTTTCTTCAACTTTAACCTTAAATATTTTTATTTGTGTTATATATTACTAGATAAAACTTATAAAAATGAAAAAACATTTAAAATACAATCCGTTCATATATTTTGCATCAAGTATTATCTATCAAAAACAAAATTATTTAAGGTCAAAGTTGAAGAAAAAAAACTTCAAAAATCAAAAAATGAACTATCAATTTGAAACCGAGGTAATATATTTCGGTCTCTAATCAGTAGTCGGACTTGTAAGGACGAAAAGTTACCACCAAAATCTTTTTCTTGCAGTGAAAATACTTTATCTTCCTCAAATTTCAATTACTTAATTGGTATAGAAGAAAACTACACCAACAAAAATTATTCTCATTCATACATCTATGTATAAAAAGCAACACGAACCATATGTACGTGTCCAATACATACTAGTGGTGGTATTGAGACGTGTAAACGGTCCGATTGTCGTGCTATTTAAATACATAAACATATTATTTAAACACAACATTATTCAACCATACATATCACCATCACCATGAACATAGCACGCCATGTTTCTAGTCATGGGAACTTCACACCACCATATCCTGCACACATAAAGATCAATAAGATCACAACATTGAATAGGAGTCATTTGCTTTTATCGTGACAGTTTGTGTTGAGGAACTTACAAATAGGAGCAGTCGTCCACCTCTGGTTATCACCTTTAGTCCACTCCCAACAAAGAATTTTGGTCCCATCATGAATACCAGTGTCACCAATAGATGCATCTATATTAAGCTTAATCTTGTTCACCATTCTTACTGAGTGAAAACCATCACCCAAATCCTTGCTTTGTGTCCAAAGAACAGACTCATCAACCCTATCTGGGTTGTATTCCGTCAACTGAACCTGTAGAAGCAATTATTTACATTAAAAATCCGAAGAAAATTTACAAAAAGAACAAGCTCGATCAAACATGCGACAGATACTCGATCTATAGTACATACTTATATACAATTTGACAATAGTTATATGTGAGTGTTCATCACTAATTGAAGCAATTTGAAGTTGGAGGATTACATACTGGTTTAGCGGCACCGGTAGCGTGCTTCAGAGCCTGTCCAGTAGCTTTATTAATCAGAGCAAAAGAGGGAAAACCTTCTTCATCTTTGACTTTCGTGCTAAGCTTCTCTTCCTTTATCCAATGCTGTGTAACAAGATGAAAAGATCAACTACACTGAATTCAGATGAGCTGATCTGCGAAGGAGGAATGAGAGATTGAGAGGTTATATATATACCTGATGAGGATCGGAGGGGTTGGTGGGTGCAAGAACGGGTTCTCCATTACGGATGGTGAGCGAGTAATCAGTCTTGATCTTGCTGTAAAACCTAACAGTGGGTTTGTTGTCAGTGTACTTAGGGCTCTGATGAGAGACATGTTGGACAGCTGCAGGTTGTGATGAGGATTGGTGGTGGGTCTGGGCGGGAGCATGGTGGACGGCGACAGCAGGTTGCGGTGTTGATTGGTGGTGGCTGGGAGCTTTGTTGTGGTGGTGATCCATTTTGTGAGATTTGATTGGTGTGTGTGTGTGTAATGTAAGGAGTAAGGAAGTAAGGAGTTAGTTAAATAGAGAAAGAGGAGGTGAAGGGGTAGTTAGAAGATTTTTGTTTTTTTTTTTTTGGCCGGTGGAAGAAGTCGTGCCCATAATTAATTGTTTTTTTGTGCAGAAATGGCCACGTTATTATATATTATTTTATCTTAAATTGACAGTTTTGTTCAGAAAAGATTTTGGAATTATCTCAAAATTGATGATTCAGAGGAATTGAAATGGTAGGGCCAAGTTTTAGTCGACTGAAAAAAGTACTATTTATTTTATTTATATATTTAAAAAAATAACTAGTATATACGGTTCTCGAATAGTATATACTTATAATAAGTTAATTTTATTGGGCCATCGATGGATATTAGTATTACAGTATGGGGCTATTTTCACAAATGATATCTGAATTTTGATATAATTTTCGATGAAGTTGTTTTTATATAAAACATTTTTTTCTGGAAAATTGGAAAAATACAATTTTGAACTGAATTAGAATGTCTTGAGAACTTTTTTTCAAAAAAAAAAATAATACAAGCCTTTTAAAAGGAAAAATAACATTATAGCACTATAAAACGTTAGGTTCTATTTTAAAAAGTGATTCAATTTATATTTTACAGTCTAGGAGATTAATCTCGAATGTTACCGTTTTAAATGATTACTTGACTTATTATAGGTAATTTCATATTTCATCCTACTCATCAAAGGCTAAATGAAGACATGTTGGCTAAAAACAATGTCATTTTCCTATTCAAGAAACACTCCATGGGAAATTGCACATTCGTTCAAATAACTCTCAAAATTGAATCTATGAAAGTCGCAGATTTAACGAAAATGCAACTTGATCCATCTTCATCTCAAGTTTGAAACAAAAATAAAACAATCATCATCGAGTTGTTTTGATCAAAAATCAACGCCTCCGTTCTACACCACTTCGAGATAACAGTGGATTGAGACTCACTCTCATTTAAATAAAAAATGAACATCCATCTCCAAAATCTCCTTTCAATCCATCACCCATTTTCGAAATTGAAACCTAACATCTTTTCGAAACAGTTTAGACAACCATCATACCTTCAAATCGAAACCAGAACAAAGTCTGTTGACCCATCGAAATTAGAACAAGATCCAAACAAAAATGAGAAGAAGACATTAGTTCAGTGAAACCTAAATCCATCTTCATCTCCAAAATCAAACAACTATTTTCGTTCTAGACTCATTGCAACACTATCACGACTGAAAAATACAAATTTGAAAACCATCTATTGAATCTTGTTCAAAATCCAAATTCATATGTGACGTCCCAAAATACAGAGTAGATTTTTCACTTTTTATATATAATAAAACCATCCAAATACCATTCCATCAAAAGATAATCAGAGTATAAGTTTGAAGTTTATCAGAGTAAAATCATAAAAACAGATAGTGTGGAAATCTTCAGTAGATGCGATGCAATCAAGTCGGGCTATTCCATTTGCTACCAAAGTACCTAAAACATTTAAACTAAAACCCTAAGCACAAAGCTTAGTGAGTTTTCCTAGATACCACATATAAAACAATAACAGTGAGCCTGATCCTAGGGGTATATTGATGGGTTTTCTATGTTAAACAAAAACAAGAAATTTATGTAGCGGGATCATAAAACTATTTTATGGGCACATGTAACCTAGAGATCTATGACATTTTTTCATTATAGCAACATACTAAGTAAAACCGATCTAATCAATTTATATGTAAGAACAAATAAGATTAATAACATACCTTGAATTGTAGTCGAATACACTTACTCCTTTGATATTCAATAGCTCGTGGAAAGTAAGCACCAGAAGCATCTCTCTAATGATTCACACCCAAAACCTTATAACATTACAAATCAAAAAGGGGCGCGGGGGGGAAGAAGTGAAATTCAGATTTCATTCTTCTTGGAATTATTATCAACGAAAATAAGATGCTAATGGAAGGTATTTATAGCTAGGGGATCTCCGGGATAAATCTGATCCCTGGGATAAACACTAAATTGAATAATTAAATATTAGATTCAATTTATTCAAGGTATTATCCTTATTAACTATACGACAAATCTAGAACCCCCTCTAGATCCCTTAAAATTGTCCATACCATGGATGGTTCTACAATTCAGCCATTGTATCTTTATGTAATTCTAGTTAATTCCGAATTAATTCCAGATTAATCCTGATTAGTCATTATATAATTCCAATTATTTCTAATTAACTTAACTAATCATATAATAATATAACAAGTCATTTTATCTCTCTCCTAAAGTCATTTCTAGGTATTTCTAGTTATTGAGGGTAACTCGAAAAAAGACTTTACTTTTATTCTATAAAGTTACACCAATTTAGTTATAACATTGACCAATTTAGTTATGACATTGGACACCTATTTCAACATATATTTCAACCCATGTGAATGCTACGTTCCACCCGTAGCCTTACAATCACTTCTATTGCTACAGTTCCCCAGCAGTCTTTCCTTCTATGCCCCCCCCCCAATAGTATTTCATACAAATCAATATGGTCCACCCATAGTCTTTCATGTGGTTCACAAAGAATAACAAACATATTTGTACACTACATATCCTATATAGTATAGTTAGAAGACTCATCAGAATCAAAAGTTGGATATCGACACTCTAAGTCACACAGGACAAGCTACACGAACCACCTATAACAAATAGAGGTCACACCTCAGTATACTACCTAAAACCTCGAAGTCTGACCAAAAGTCGAACTGCTCAAAAGTCAAAGTTAACGGTCAACCCCACCGACCACTGCATCGCGACCAGGCCCTGGCCATGTCGTGGTGACTAAAAGACAAAATAGATGCAGGACCATTCGTCCACCACACCGTGGTCATCCCCTGACCGCTTTACCATTCGTTTGGCATATTAGTTCCCTCATTAAGCTCTTAATTTGTTAAGTCCAAGCCTCTAACTTTCCAAAAGGATTTAATACTCTCTAATACTCCATAAAATTGAATCTTTAATACATGCATAAACCATATAAGGCTCACACTGTTTTGGGTCAAAAATGGTGAAAATGGTTCTAACTTCATGCATGGCATCAAATGGATTGTAAAGACCAGATATGATATCAACGATACTCATTGGACCTTAGAAATCAATAAAGTTTCAACCTTTATACCATCATTTCATCCAAAATCATTAAAATGGACCAGATCTAACTTAAAATTAATATCTAGAAGGATAAACAACAAGGTTGAGTCTTAAAGACTTACAGAATTCCAGAAATGCACAAGAGACCTAATTTAGCTTCCTTGCTGACTCTTGTTTCACTAACATATCTCTCATTCCTCTTCATAGTCACTCACCAAACTTCAAACACCAAGGAACATACACAAATAAGGCTCAACGTCCAAGATCTAGGGTATTAAGCCCAATATCCACCGTGTTGTGGTGGATCTCCACCACCACGCCGCAGTTACTCACATTCTCAGGAAATTAAGACTTAAAAACAATTGATGTCAGAAAATTAGTACCTGAAAACAGGCATTACATCATAACCATCTTCATCTTACTAGGAATAACCCTAACTATAACACCAATTTCCAATTAAGCATCACTTTTGAGTTTGTCAATTTAAGCCTTAAAGAATGAATTTTTGTTGGCCATGAAGTGAGCAGGTGAGTCTCACACCCTGTCGATGCCAAAGGAAAATGTGCATTTCATTGGGTGTCACGACGTGACAACATGTTGGTCACGACGTGACAGCCCCTGCATGTAAAACCCTAATTGTGGGGTTTGTTCCCCTATTTAAGGGAAGTGAGGGCTAGGGTTTGCACACCCTCAACCTCCATCAACTCCAACATAAAACCTAGCCTCCATTTTGTCATTTGAGAGTTTTGGTGGTGTTTTGGTATTTTAAGAAGAATAAAAAGCTCTTGGTGAAAAGATATAGCAATATAACCTCTTCTCCTCACCCTTACTCATATTCTAGACTCATATAAGTCTTCAAGATCCAAGATCCAAGATTTATGATTAGTGTTTCTAGATCTAGGTTCTTGTCCCTTTTTTCCATGATTGTGAGAGTTTGAATGGTTAAATTCCACAAAGTTGGCAACTTTATGGATCCTTGGGGTCCCTTTGGGGCTATATGTTCAAGATCTATGTTTCTATGGTGTATTTGGTCTCATGAACTAGTTTGAGTTCATTTCTTCCATGTTTTTGACCTAGAATGGAAGAGACATGCATGTTCATAAACCATCAAATTTATGTTGCATTAAGAGTAAGAAAGCCTCCTGGAAAGTATAGATGATTGGTCTTATTGATTAAGGACTTAATGCATTAAGGAGGCCAAAACGGTACTCACGGTGTAAAGGATTGGTCTTCACGATATGAGAAAATGCAATCTCAATGACTGTCTTGTCTTGAGACCACCATGATGTGACATAAGATCGTGCACAATGTGGTGGGCATCTGGGATACTTTTTGACTATTAACTTTGAATTTTATTGTTAACTTTTGACCAAGATTGATTTTAGGTCAATATGAGGGTTTTGGGTTGTAGTGTCATCTATTAGATTTGTGATCAATGTTTTTATCCGCTAGACTAGGAGATGAGTTTTCTCAATCTACTTTTTTACTGCAGTATGTATCCTTAGGTGTAAGATGTCATTATACTGTAGTGATCTATGTATCCTTGTGGATAGGATGTTGGTACGTTATAGTGATTTGTTGATTGGTAGATCTGTTATGATTACTTGTATTGCTGGCTATTGTTAGTTTGATTGTTTATGTGTATATGAAGACATGTTGTAGTTGGGTTGAGGTTGTGTTGTATGCCAAGATATCCAGGTAGTCTAGTGTATCGTAGGCTTTGTAGGACGGTCCAATCATGATGTAAGCCCTAGGGAGTTGTCTAACTATTGTAGGCCTTATGAGCGGGCCAGTAAACTATAGGCTCTTTAGAGCGGTCCAAGCATCT